GCAACTTATTGCTGCTCCAGCTAAGTGTCCCCGAGGCAGATACAGCTACGGGACCCATCCCTTCATTTCCTTCCTCAGGTGGAGAGCAGTACATACTGGCACCTGCTAAGGCACTGCCCCTGCTCGAGGCTGGCAGGGGTGGTCGGCCATGAAGTCCACCAGCATGTGGAACTCTGCGGGAAGAAGAGCAAAGCAGGCGTGTATGGTCTTTGATGCAAGCCCAAAAACAAGAGAGACACACAATTTCTTTGTTGGCGCCAACGCATGCGACAAGAAATGTAAGGAAAGAAAAGGAACAGCGACACAGGCAATGAACATACTCGCTGCATCACTAAAAGAAAGATAAGCCAGCACACTTTCCCTTTTTTCCTCTGCGCGGAAAAGATGAAACACAGAGGCTCAAAAAGCCATGACTCTCCCACAACAGGAGAAAAGGGGAAAGCTGATGTGGTTGTAGTAGGTTTCTGGCTGCACGTGGCCAGAGCACCAGATACATCTTGGGTGCTTGAAAGGTACATACAGTTGTATGGAAGTTCAAATACATACTGCAGAGAAGGGGCATTGGGCTCCCATGCAACTTAGGGAGATCTCTTTGGGTCTCTTAATGAAAGACTGAAGCATTCAAGGGCAGGGTAGACTTTCTGAACCTCATGACACGTTTTTGTATATTAACAATGTAACATTTCATGACAGTCATCTTTTTTTGGGGGGGGGGGGTGTTACCTCCAGACTAATCCAGAGTAGTTGCTGATCCCTTCGCTCAGCAAAGCCAAGCTTGTGCTTTTTGTGCATGTGTATTACAATGTTGTTGTTTGGGTTGGTGAGGTGGTGAATGAGAGCTTTGTGAGTTATCAGTGAGAGCCTGTGGGTCAGCAGTTTTTTTTTTTAAGGGGTTTCTTTGAAAACCCCTTAAAAGAAAGCAAGTAGAATTTTGAACTGAGTTCCTGGCACACGAAAGTGCAACGGTTGAGGTGTGTTTCAGTCCTGCAGCGCATGGGCTTGCATAAGCCTCCTCGTTGGAAAAACGCCAGAGTGGGCTGCGACTTGTTGTAGGAATAAACAGGTTCGGGGGGGTGTTCTTGTTTCTACAGCCTGGATGAGCTCTGTATTGAGATGGATAGTGCATAACCTTATGTGCATAACCTCATGTGTGGGTCTCAGCTTAGAAAACTTGGAGAGGCAGGATGCACTATTGAAGGCTACGCAAGTGTGCATGTGTTGGATTGCCACAAGAATGCCTGCAAGTTCTGCCCTGTTGGTGTTTTTTAGGTCTGTCGCCATAGGATTTATGTGCAGCTACGGGCATTGAAAAGGTGGGGAAGAGTCACTGATTGGAAAAAAATGATTTAGACTTGCTTCCTTAGTTATTCTTAGAGCGACAGAAAACCCCACTTGCTTTTGAGAGGCCTTCCTTCCAAAATTTGCGGTTTGAGTCCCTTCTTGAAGCTCAACTCACATAGCTCAAACTGTCACACCGACCAAATTTTGGAAGGGGGGAAACCATATGGCACCATTCCACTATTTTTTAGTTTTATGCAAGCCCTGCCTGCAACCTCTTGGCTTGCATTTTTGCATGGTGGTCAGTGAGTGTCTGTTTTATTCGTGGAATCGATGGAACAGAAGCAACACCCATTTTCCCAGAAACAAATGCTCAGCATTCCTTGCATGCCAGCATCCATTGATCATCCCAGGTGTGCATTCAACAGGCTGGTACCTCCTTGTGGTTTTAGACACAAGAATATGCACAGCCCCTTGATCTCAGTGCTCCATCCTCCAACATGGGAGAATACTAAACCTTTTGCAGAGCTGCCTCTTTCTCTTCAGCTTCCATGCTTCACCAGTGATTTGGCAATGGAAAGGGTGGCATCCTCCTCCTGTCCCTTTCCTTTCGTGATTACACACAGAGGGGCATTGAATTGAACCCCAAATTATGATTACACACAGAGGGGCATTGAATTGAACCCCAAATTATGATTACACACAGAGGGGCATTGAATTGAACCCCAAATTATGATTACACACAGAGGGGCATTGTCCCCCTGATCTCTGCGCACTGTCCTGCGACAAGGGAGTGTATTGACCCTTGTGCTGGGCGGCCTCTTTCCTCCTTCTCATCAGCATCCATGCTGGAATGGCATGGGAACTCAAGAGAAGGAGGAAAGAGGCCGCCAAGCACAAGAGCTAGCACCATGTGCTTTCGGCAACGGGAAGGGTAGCATCCATATCCTTTCCTGTCCCTCCTCTTTCGAGGCAGTCTCCTCTGCATGGGTGTACCAGCTCGAGCACGGTGATAGGGGGCCGCCAACGAACCCATTGTCACGGATTGTGGGCTATTTTAGGTCAGCCCTTTGATAGCCTTAGCGCACAGAGTATTCTCGACGAGTAGGATGCTGAGGATATGAAGCTGACCAGGATGCTTGGGGGGAAGTAGGAAGATGCTTACAGGCACCTATAAACAGGTCCTGACCTTAGATGCAATCTCCACTCTCGCACCACTTCCCCAGTCCCTCTCCCTCTTGTTCCTTAGCAAATCCCTTGCCTCTGTCTTTTACTTGTACTCCATAAAACCAGGGGGAAGAGAGGGAAGGGGAGAGAGAGAGAGGAGGGGGATGGGGGAGAGGTTAGTTGGATGCATGCAACCAAAATTGACTGGTACATTTTAAACTTCTTCCTGAGGTACAGGAAATGTTTCCCCTTCTGGCAAGACAAACATGCTGCGTGCCAGTATCAAACTGAGGTCCACATTGAGGCGTGTTGAGGGGTGTGATGTGAGGGAGCCTCCATAGGTGGGACTTGCCGATTCAAATCTGGACCATGGACGAGCCACTTGGACACTGTCACCAATTTCCTCTTCTACCCTCTACTGGAGCACACTTTGCGCAGGTCCAGGCTCTGGGACGAGGGTGAATGTGACATAAACCAGGTTGACCTCAACACAATTTAGCAGGTACCGTACATGTGTACCATCCTGCAAAAGTAATATTTTTGAGGGTTGTGGGACGACTGCAAGGAGGAGCATTGCCGGCAATGCCCGTCAAGGAACTCGACAAGATCATCAATAGCTATTGATGCCCTTGTTGAGTTCATTGATGGGCATTGCTGGCAATTCTCCTCCTTGGACACTAGGAAAAATAATAATTTTTGGGCATGTGTGAAAGTGCATGAAAGTGAAACAGTTGTTTTTACGGAATTTTTTGGTGGAAAAATTAAACTAAGGAGTGCATTGAGGCTGTTAAGGAGCTTATTGACACCTTTGATTGAGGTATACTGGCAGCAGCAGCAGCAGCAGCAACAGCAGCAGTTGCTAAGGAAGAGTAATCTCTTCTGCAAAGCTGCTGGTTGCAGAAGCATTGCAGCCCTGCTGTTGCCCTGCTATTGCACCGCTGGAGCTGCTGTTGCAGGCAGCTTGTACATGCAGTTATACCTCACAACTCAAGAGTTCCAGGGCAAACAAAGGACGATTGGCCCTGCAGAATTCCAAAAATAAACATTGAAGGGGGTGCGGGATCCAGGCAGGAACCACACAAAAAAATATTTTCATTTAAGTGCGGTATACAATAATTAATCAATAGTGACGATTGCATGTCCACATTGTGATTTATCCCTTCTTCCCTAGGAGTGCCCCCAATGTGTTCATCTTCATTATGCAGGAAGGGGAACTTTCAGGGCAATAGTGATCTTCTTTTTAGCGAAGATTGAAGCAGGCGCGGTGGAGGCGCTCTTACATATGATGAAGCTGGTGCACCCTTTTTCCAACTATCAACACTTGCTGTGCACATTTCATTGCAACTCCTGCTTATACAAAACACACACGCTAGGCTACAAACCAAGGCCGCCTGACAGGAACTCCTCCAACAGGCCTTTCGTAGGATGTCCAACCTGTATGTTGTGAAACAATTGAACCATCCTGCCCAACATTGGTTTGCAATATCCTATGATGGTTCAAATGTGCCACAAAATACACACCCCATCACATACACATCACGTTTGAACCATCCCAACCAATGCCATACCTCTACTGGAGATCCCACCCCCCTTCCCACTTTTCGGGTGCTTTGCTTCTCCACCTTCAGACATCGACCAGGGAACAGATGAACGCAAGGGTGAAGTCCCACCCATCGCTGCGTTTGCACATTATACACATCAAGGGCTGCAGGTATTCACAGCTGCGTGCCTCAGGCTCACACTTCCCCTGCGTTACGAAGATGTCCGCTGCAACGTTCGAATTACCCAACAGGATCACCCACCAGCAGAACCCCTCTCTTGAACAAGAGCCAATCACAGCAGGAGATGAGCACGCAGTTTTTCCAGACCCGAGCTGAGAGTCGCATCAAAACTCTCCACTGTCTCCAACGCGCCAGACCCTCCTGCACAAGCTTTCCCCCAGCTGGYCGAGCCCAATTTCCATCTTCCAAGTACATTAACCCCCATTGCCATGCCCTGGCCTAAAATTTGACTGTGTGGTAGAGGCTCTGCCTTGGGTGGGTGAACATCACTGTGTAGCACACTAAAAATGAGCACAGGTGGTGCACCCTCAGACACAGGGTTGAAACAATATGGAGCGTATGGCATATCCCAGGGGGAGACAAACAGAAACAGAAGGTGAGCTTCGATTGGAGGTGAGCCACCTTACACATGTTTGAATTAGTGTGCTTGTACAAGCACACTAATTCAATGAAAGACAAGCAACCAATCAATGCAGATGGGGAAAAGAGACACATCGGCTGCACAGAGCAGTGCACATGAATGCGCACACACACACACACACACACACACACACACACACACACACACACACACACACACACACACACACACACACACACACATTCAAACAGGAACCAGTGCACAACCTGCAAATGCACAAACATTGTCCTCAGCACAACACCTAAACCTGCAGAAGAGGTTTTGGTCATTATGCCTTGCAGAGCCCAAGCTTGTGAAACCTTCCAGTAAGCGCGCAGTATACTATGAAAATGGGAGTGTGCACAGGCCAGCAGGCGGGCGGAGCTCCGCAGGTAGAGCGTGGGTTTCATAATCCTAAGGTCCAGGGTTCGAACCCCTGCGTCCGCAATCCTGCATCATTGCCTGTGTTCGTGGCAATCATTWTCCTTTGGCTCACGGGCATGACAGACAACAAATGCCTCTGCTCCCTTGTTCCTCGGGTGTGCCTTGCCACAACAGCTGTTCCTCATTCCTAAATATGTCTCATGCAAATAAGTGCAATTGAGCTGCATCTTCACACCGACTGTGGCACAGGTTCACTTCCCTGATTCATGTAAATGATACATGTGATCCAGCTTCCTAGACTACTCTTCAGAGCCAACAATCACCGGACCCAAGGCAACATGACTTTGATGGTGGTCCTCATTGCCTTGTGGTGCAATTCACATATTTTTTTTTCCCGCAGACTCCAGGGAATGCAGTCAAGCACCTTTCCTGATGCTGTCCGGCCCACAGGCAAAGATTCCTGGCTGCCCCACCCTCCTCTGTTCGTTTGTTTCACGTTCTGTGCAGGCACACTAAAGAGAGAGCCTTCCCTCCTCTCCCTTCCCAACCCTTATTTTCCTTCCTCTTCAAAGGGAACCTTGCCTCACCAGGGAAGTTCAGGGGCCCTTYGCGCTTGTCCCGTTAGCCTGGAACTACGTCAGCAAAAAGTCCAGGGAGAGTGGGGATCGAACCCTGGACCTCCGGGTTCTAGGCAAAAATCCAACCAAAAGTTCGGCATTTCCCGGTTTGCCCCAGCCCCCCTTCCATCCCTTTCCAGGTTGTCCCTCACCTTCCTTCTTATCTTCCAGATSTATGTTGGAATGCCCCATGCATACAGGAATGTGCCTTGTCCTTGCGCGTATTTGGCGGGGAAGCTTCCCTGCCCCGTCTATGTAGCCTCGCGTTTGAACCTCCCCCCCCTTCCTCCCCCTTCCTCACCGATTCACTGTCTGTTTTCATCTCCATCATCTGCTCATTGATGGTCAATAAGGGGCTGCCTGAAGGAGTCTGACACCTCCATGGGCTCCCAAACCCTCCCCCCCATGACCCTGCACAGCACCTGCCCCTGCCCGTCCCCCACTCTTGCCCTTGCAGCTCTTGTTGTTGCAGCCTGAGGWAAATKTTGGAACTTTGCAGGTRTCCCCTGGTCCTCCTTATGGCTTGACCCCCCTTTGCAGTGTCATCAAGCTGTTCATGCATCCTGCATGCACCCTTGCGTGTTACCCTGAGCACCCCAAACATGTTTTAGTGTCCCACGCATACAGTTCTAATGGACAATCAGCATCTAGAAGTGCCATGTGAGGCGCAGGGGCTGCTTTGCACCCATTTTGGCAGGAAAAGATGGATTTTCGAACTTGGACCAAATGATGAGTTGCGCTTGGGTTGTCAGACCATGCTGTTAGATTTTGCGATGAGGGAGCATGCTGGCGGGGGGCACCCATGGCACGGATTTGGGTTGCGGAAAGGGAAACCTCTGCCAGCTTGCCCATGCTTGCAAGCTGCCATCCTCAACCTTGAAGAGAGTTGCAACCACAATGATGCATAAAGCAAAACAAAAATGGGGTCAATCAGTGGTCTGGTGGAAAATAGGGAAGCTGATTTGTACCATCAAGAAGCTGATTTGTACCATCAGCCGCTGCATTTTTTGCCGCTGAGGACAAATCAGCTTCCCGGTTTCCAACCAGACCACTGATTAGCCCCACTTTTGTTGTGCTTGTTGCTTGCTGTGGTCTGCAAATCTGGTGCAGAGCAGGCCGGATTTCCGCCCAGGAGATGCGAGGGGAGGAAAAAAAGTGGGAAAAGGCAAAAAAAGGTGCGCCATTTTCTGCCACTTTCCATCCTCCTCGCAGCTCCTTGGTGGAAATCCGGCCTGCTTTGCACCAGCTTTGCAGTCCACATAAATTTAATTTGGACTTACAGGCTGCAGATTGGTACAGGGGTTGAGGAGCAGCACCTGTTTTCGTACAGTCATCAAGGGACCTGAACTTTGACACTTGCCACATACTGCACCTCATATTCCCCTGTGAGCACCTGCTTGCAGAGCTTGTTATCAGCTATCTAACACACTTCCCAGATCCTACAATGATGCAGGAATGGGCAAAATATCTTGTGGCAAAGTAAATGGTACTCATTTGCCTAGGCAGGGGGGGGCTTCAGCCGCGAGGATGATCCCCTCTTGAAGGCCAGGAGCTTGATAGAGGGGCCCAAATGAGCTTTAGGCCAACAGGTGGTGCATGAGGCACCACCTTCTTCTGTCCTAGGGCAGAGGAAGGGGGGGGGGGGGGGGCGGGGGGGGGGAGAGCAGGCCTGGAGACATTGGCAGCCGCCTCTTGTCTTTCAAACTCTTGCCCCCGCTGTGAAACGTGTGTGTGTGTGTGTGTGTGTGTGTGTGTGTGTGTGTGTGTGTGTGTGTGTCCAAACAAAGGAACGAGGGAAAAGAAGGCATAATTGTAATAAACATGGACATGTACCTGAGCTGCTGACAAATGCACACTCAAAAAAATAATGGCACTCCTCTTAATGTTGATAACTGAATAATTCTGCTTGGCTTGCAAAGTACCGAATGGAAAATGCCCAACATTGAGCCCTGAAATGAGAAACCCCTGCCAAGAAGGGGCAGAACCTTTTCCAACATTGGCGACACTAAGCAGAAGCGCAAGGAGGGCAATGGCCCACCCCAGAACCTCTACACTCGCCTGGGACTCTTTGCTTATACCCTTAGACCTCGTGCAGGGCAGGAGAAAGGTACAGGGGAGCGGGACGGAGAATGCATGTAACCCATGGAGCTCAAAAAGCCTAGAAACAGCCATCCATGCTCACTCACTTGAGACAATATCCAGTAACGTAGCCAAGTTAGGAAGGCGGCTGCACCAAGCTGTAATGTTGCTTGCATGCTGCCCACCAACGCCCTGCAAAAAGGAAGGAAGGGTAGCCAGAATTACGTGCTACAACAAACTTCTGATCAATTCCACCCAAGTACAAAAGGTTAGACATGCATGCAACCAACATAGCCTCTGGCAGTGTTAGTCCATACCCACCCGGAGTCTGGCTACCATGCGCACATGCGGCAGGTAGCACATAGACCATACAATGCACAACCTATGGGCAGCACATCTCCTCAGTAGCAGCAAGCAGGGGAGGAGCTTGCAGGAAAAGGAACTTCCAGATTTGTTAATCTACTAAGCCTTCAAAACAGTTACTGGTCCTTCCGGCAATGACAAATAGACGTGCCATGCACACCTCAACTGCCATCAGTGCTCACCCATGCAGCTCCCCTATGAAAAAAATCGCAAAGAGCACATTTCAATCAAAATCCCAAACCCCATCAGTGCTCACCCATGCAGCTCTCCTATGAAAAAAATCGCAAAGAGCACATTTCAATCAAAATCCCAAACATCAGATGGCTGGCTGACAGCCAGTGGTCTTGCAACAAGCAAGAACTACCAGCTTTCCCGGTGCATGTGCAAAATGGCATAATCCGGGAAATTGAAACAGGCACACAGTAGCAGACACATTGCATTAATTTCGTTTATTGGTACTGGGCCAAAATAACAGCTCACAAATCCATGATCGAGCTCATACTTTCGAACGCACTTCGCACACCCTGCACAATCATATTGGAGAGGTAGCAGGATGAGGAGATCATCTGCTGTGCAGATGCCACCCCAGATGCATTCTTGTCCATGTGCTCTGGGGGAAAAGAAATGGAGTACTGCAACTCTTAATTCACACGCATGTGCTCCCATGCAGCAATCTGCAGACAGTGCATGATTGCGCGTATGCATGCATACTTGCTTTTATGCATGTGGGCATGCGCATGTGTGCATATATATATATATGTGTGTGTGTGTGTGTGTGTGTGTGTGTGTGTGTGT